TATAATTCACATTTGATTTTCCAAAAAGATTAATCTTGTTAAAAAAAATTGATACCCAATGGCCAATCATAATGAAATGTAAATGATTTATATATAATCTTATTTTATATTAAAACCTCACTTGGTCGTTTGTAATTTTACCAACAACATAAGTAGTTCAATAATAATTTTTTTAAAAAATAAGAGGTTTTAATTTCAAGTTATGTAACATGCAGATAAAATAAGTTAAGAAATAAGAAAAAATTATCTCTTATTATGCAATTTAAAATAAAAAAAATACTTGCAATCTTATTTTTAATGATGTCTCAATTTAAAATTCTAAATTAAAAATTTAATGGTTTTTTGTGGTACATTAGATGTTAGTTATTTGGCAATATAAAAGTTTAAACCTCTAATCTTGACCTTAAATTATGATTTTTTGAGTTAATGGATACTAACTTATCCAAATTTTTGTTGATATTAGAAATTTAGTGTTCCTTTCTATAAATAGATCAAAAGAGAGTTGAAAAAGAAAAATGTTATTCCTTATTATGTCCATATTTAACAAGACACAACAATCTAAAAAAAAAAAAATTGTAGAATAAGATTCTATATGTATCAATTTCATCGTCAATCTTGTATGTTACCTTAATTTCGTAGTTAAGAGATACCCAGAAGTTATAATAGTAATTGAAGAATTTTTTAATGAAAGATATTGTTAACATATTTGGTTAGTTCCAAGGAATCGGTCTTTTTAGCAGCCTCGCTAGTAATCATTCAACCCATTGAATTTCTCAAGTTAGGGAATTCCATAAACAAATTAATAAATGAGTTAAAGGAAAGAGTAAATGGACAGACGTGTTGTCAAAATGAATCTGTCCATCCTTGCAGACAAGCCATCAACATTTAATACTACTAAGTACATTCGCAAGTGGTGGGTACAGCAGAATTTCGGTGCACTTCCGGTAGTGGGGGTGGCGTGGTCAACTATGTCACGCCAGTAGCCCTTAAATTCTAAACTAACACGGCTTAGCTTGCAACTGTACTTAAGTTTTTCAATAATTTAACGTAAATTTACCGCCCCATTTTAGGGGAACTTTTAGTCAATTACTCTGTTCTAAATTTAGAGAAGAGATTGTCAAATTTGTAGCCAGCTTCTTGCCACGAAAGGACATTTTTTAGAACAAAACAATATATGAAACTCACAAATCAAATTAAATTGTTAGTCCTATATATATACTATCTCATAGCAAGACACAATGCAAATTTAGAAATCAACACTAAAAGTTGTATAGCCTAGCCTTGATTATTTAATGTCTTCTAGAAAGAATCTCATTTGAATTGATACTCAATAATTTATAATTAACTATAACTTATAAGTAGTGGACAATATCTTAGGGTGGGACACGGCCTAACCCTTGGCTAACATTTTGTAACCATGAAAGATCAAGCTTCAACACACAAAAATCTATCAGAAGTATTTGCCTGTTAAGAAAAGATCCTTAATGATGGGAGAAGTTCTAGGTGTAGAGTCAAAGAGGGACGCAGATATACTGAAAATGATAGATCTTCATGAAGAGGGCCAATGTAAATTGATATAAAACTCTTTCTTTAATTTTCTCTTTTTGCCGCTCACTAATGACCTTTGAATAGTTAATAATGGCATTCAGATGGTCTCAGTTGGTATTCGATGTCAAATCACCACCCACTAAGCTTAATCACACTATAAATAGGGACACTAAGGAACTCGATTCATTGTGCTCAATTCCAATACCTTCCTTCTACATTTGCATTTCTTTCTCTTGCGATATTCATAACATATATAGCCTTCTTGATCATTGCACAATGTTGATCCAAGTTATGGAATTTCAATCATTTAAGTCCATTCTTCTTTTGTTACTACTTCTCTGCCATGAAGAAGTTGTCATGGGGGGCAGACAAATAAAATCAACGGAAAGAACAGAATCGAAGCAGAGCAGTCCGACTCTGAAATCACAGAATGGTGGTTTTGGTCATTCGGGTGCAGTTGATCGGGAGGATAATTTCCGCCCAACAAATCCTGGTGACAGTCCGGGAGTCGGCCATCCACTTAATGCAGAAGTGGAGGACGTCGAGCATTCTGTTATGGGATCTACAGATGATTTTCGTCCCACAACGCCAGGTAACAGCCCAGGGGTAGGACATTCTCTTGCTGACATTGAACCAGTAAGCTGGAGTCCCCCTAGCATTGATGATTTTCCTCCCACAACACCAGGAAATAGCCCCGGAGTTGGACATCATTCTCACGCACAAGACAAGCGGGAGAATGATGAAAATTTGGTAAGCAGTAGCTGGAGCAGCACTGATGATTTCCGCCCAACAACTCCTGGTGACAGTCCGGGAGTCGGCCATCCGCTTGATGCAGAAGTGGAGGACATTAAGCATTCTGTTATGGGATCTACAGATGATTTTCGTCCCACAACGCCAGGTAACAGCCCAGGGGTAGGACACCATCTTGCAGACATTGAACCAGTAAGCAGCAGTCCCCCTAGCATTGACGATTTTCGTCCCACTACACCAGGAAATAGTCCCGGAGTTGGACATTATTCCCACGTACAAGACAAGGGGGAGAATGATGAAATATTGGTAAGCAACAGCTCGAGCGGCACCGATGATTTCCGACCTACAAATCCTGGCCACAGTCCTGGTGTTGGCCACTCTGATCGAAACTAAAATTTGAACAACATATGTTGAGCTTTTAGCCCCATTGGTAAGGTAAGCTCTTGGGACGTGTGGGTTAGGTGCATGCAGTCTTTCGAGTCTGAAATGATTCTTAC